AAATTTCTCGAAAATCTCCCATGGAGTCGCTCGAAAAATCAAAGTCACCCTGTTTTGTCGTAATGTACTTTCGACGCTACAGGCACCTCCCCTCCTCGAGATTTCGATCGACGACAACCTCCTTCTTCAATACAGTTCTTTTCATTCGTCTCTCCGTACCACCTCGTAATGATTACACAAATATACTGTATTGGTACGTAAGACGTATATATATTATATGCACGTATGTGCATATGTGTTTATATGCCCGACCCCGATTCAGACGAGCAGATAATACGTACGTACTCGTACCCTGAAAAAATAATTTGGTTAAATCAAACAACCATTTATCAGTGTCGTTTCAAGCACACACGTTTATTTGAGGGAAATAAATTAATTTCAGTTAGATCAATATACTATTTACACTTGTGTGGGATTAAAAAAAAAATAGTTTCACTACGATGAAACAAGTATTTATTTCGATAAAATAAATATATACATGTATTGGGAATGACACTGGAACATGTTTATTTGATTACACCAAATTTGATTTTTAGTGTGAGTTAAAATTCTTAATAAGTCGTATTTTTTTATTAATACTCACGAATAATTTAAATGTATTAACAAGTAACTTTGTAATTAATATTTGTATGGATTCAAATACGCCGGTACATCGTCTATCAACGAAAACAGCCCCAATTTAATTAAAATTTCTTGTAAAAACAGTTAACACACTATGTATATACTTACATCTCAGAAAAAAATTCCGGAAGGGAAAAAAAAAATAAATAAAAATCATCAACATGCAAACCGAACAACGAGACACTCGACGACGACTGTTATATTATACCCTACACCCCAATCAACCCGCAATGAAGTCAAAATTAAAAAAAAAAAAAAAAAAAAACAGTCCCACCTCCTCTCGAGATCTCTTTCGCTCTCTCTCTCTCTCTTTCTCTCTCCCCACAGCTTCGACATTTCGCACCAAGACTCCGAAAAGCTCGGCACAGTCCGTAGCGGGCCCCTTGGTAACAATGCCGGTCCCCCTCTACTCGCACGCACACGCGCTCAGGTCGGCGAAAACGGGGTCCCCCTCGAAAAATCGAGTCGTTGAGAACCCCTCGAAGACGTTTTGTGCCCCCTTACCTTTACACGTATAGGCATACATTATATTATACGCGCGTATACACGCGTCGTTCTTACCCCCGTGTGGAGAAGCTGAACGGTAGTCCTGAGGGCTCTTCGTACCCTACCTGTGTGCATTTATAGGTGTACCTACCAGCCTACCTCCAAAAATATATACATCTATACTCCACCAGCCAAGAAGAAGAAGAAGTAAGGCTCGTTCCGCTTTTTCGGGGCCCGTGCAACAATAGCCATACATATACATCAGCATACTCGTGTTGGTGCCGTGTATAACCATTCTCTCTTTCCTCTGTCTCCCCTTCTCCTCTTATTGGGGAGCCCTCGGATACACACACGGCTACGTGATGCTGACGGGCGTCTGTGTGCGGGGATCAGTCGCCGACGAGATTTCGCGGAGGGACGGTCTCCTTCTCTCTTATGGGCGCGCCGGGTACGAGAAGCGAGAGGAAGAGCGCGAGATGAGGAAAAGATCGTTGCAACGGAACGGCCAGTGCTACTTGCCACCGACTCGCGTGCACGCGGTTTGAAATGCGCTCCTCGTGTCCTACTCGCGGTTTGGGAATCGTTGCGCCTTTTTTTTTTTTTTTTTTTTTTTCAATGACGAATAATGTCAATGACTCGATCATCTGACTTTTTCAACGGTGTTGAAAAGTGATCGTTGGCTGCATTTAAATGCTGATTGTTTTTTTGAAATACGAAAAAAAAAGGGGGAAACTTTTGTGAAAGTGTGTTACTCAGTGACAGCAAATTGTTTATTCATTTTACTCGTGTTGGGGTACGATAACACAACCCGATGCAGGTGGAAGGGGCATCGTAGGCTGGTGCTCCATTGAAACAAAGGATCCAGCGTGACCCCTACGTGCTTCCGATCGGCCAAGAGCAATCGTATCATTGGTCGGATGATTTCAGATTTGCCCATGCCCTTGAGTGCAATAAAGGTGGAGGAGAGTGATCCAGGTTTTATGGTCACGAAAAAAGAGAAAAGACGTTGATCGTAGGCGGCTTGTTTCGGCTGCTAATTAGCCGCATAGAAGTACAGTGCACGAATATATTATACTGTCCACATTATCTATGCACAACGTACTTGACGCTCCAGCGGTCTAATGAGCTGTAGCTGCCGGTGTGCAGGTACTACTTGTGCCCCAGTCAGCGAAATTTTCGGCGCAACTCTTTAGTGTTCGTACGACCTGCAGAGGTTGCGGTCGGTGTCGACATACCAGGAATTAAATCGCCTGCTGTGTCGATCCTACGCTATACTGTTGAACTGGAATTTCTTCGGCGAAGCCTCGATTGTTTTGCACACTCGCGAGGAGTTTCGACGATTGGCTCCGCGGGTGAGTTTCCGATCGCGTATCGTGGACCGTACAGTGTACACTCTAAATCGATCGAGCTGTTGTTATTGATCGCTGGCACCGCTCTGTAATCACCGAGGAATCTTTTGCGTATACATCGTGCCAGCAGAGGGACCGTATCGATTATTTTTTTAGAAGAAAGTTCTTGAGGATTTTTTACAACGATAAGTAGAGGTAGGCGGCCAATAAAAATAAAAGAAGAGTTTTTGAAGGTGTAACTAAGGACGGAGTCTCATTGAGTGGTATCGACAGACAGCAGCTTATCGAGGATTACTCAATGCGATCGTTTTGACATAATTCTACTTATCTCCAGTGGATACCCACAGCGGTGTTATGCTTATCGGTGAATACGGCGTTGTATATAGAATATATATTATGCTCTCGAATGATAAACACCGTAGCTAATGGTAGCGTGACAGTCAACTGGTGTATACGTAACTGTACCGATAAATGAGGTTTACGTGCCCGTGGTAATTTTATTGATTTGGCGATTGGCATGTGTCGGTGAAACGTGTGTTTTTTTGAAATCCACTCTGCTTTCTTTTGGACGATCGGGAAAGTGTAGGCACGTGACATTCGGTGCATCATTATTTTTTGTTTTTTGTCGTTCGAGTAAGGACATGCTCATGTACATATAAAGAGTGCGAGTGTTTTAAAGAGATCAGCTTTCTTCTACCTCGATTGAAAAACAAAGAGTCGGAATATTTGCTGAATACGAGGAGAGGACTTGGTACATCGCTTAATATATGCTGGTAACGCTTTTCGGTAACTCGATCGCTGCAATCGTGTCAGAAATTTATCAGAGACTCATAACAGTGTATTAAGTGTCAGCAAACGATGAGAGAACGAGTTCGTTGAGAAGAAATGCAATGAATCATTCTTGAAACTTTATGCGAGGAAATTGACTTGGTTGCGCTTGGAAAAGTGAGTTCGGCCAGTTCCACCTGGACGGCAATCAAAAACAAAGTTATAAATTAAGAGTCTGCCGTCCTTTCATGTTGATATTTGGAGTATCTCGTGTACGTCATTAGTAGCACCTCGATTTTACCTGATTGCAATTTAATAGATAAAGTCATCGAAGCAGACATCGATATTACGAAGGCATAGGCCATGTGTTTTCTCGTCCCGCATTACGAGTTGTTGGCATCGTTAAGAGGATACGACGTCTCTGACTGAAGCTAATAGTGTAATTTAAAAGGTGGTGGTGTTGTTTTCGAGCCTATGACAAGGCAGAGGATGTGCGTCGAGTCCAAGGAAACGAACGAGAGCGATAAGCTTGTCAACACCATCATTGGATACTTCACGAATCGGGTAAATAACACATTGAAATTGAACACGACACGCATGTGGTTTATTTATAATAAAATACCTAAGAGGATGAAAGTTACTGCCAACTTATTTTTATACATTTTTAATACACAGTAGGTATATGCTTAGAATATTACAATAAAATAGGGAAGGGTAAAATTCAAGCTTCGACAGAATCGATATGAATACAATCGTGCGTTTTTACTCTTCTTTCATATTTTTTTGTGTCACGACATTTTTTTTATGCTTGGACAGTTATGTACCATCATTATAATAGTTTGACTTTTATGTATCGGGCTAAGGATATTTTTACGTTTCTTTGTTTACTGTAAGTTACTATGACCCTAATTTTTTTAAACGTGAATTATTTAATAAAATCCATGAGTTTAATTCATACATGTGTATATATGGGTGCACTTTGCGTAAAAGCAAAGTATGTCCACAATTTTATTGAATAATAAGGGGACAAGGGGGCATAATGCACCTAATTATTTCGTAAAAGATAAGTACAAGAAAGTGTCTGTTCTCTTTTGGCAATCAGGGCCACCTCGTTGTCGTCATTTGCCCCCGTAATAGACCATAATTGTGCGAGCCCCAATCGTTTCATCAACGATACGACTTGTCCTTGAAACTTTACAGATAAAAAATACTCGTACCCTCTCGATGAATAAAAAAAAAAAAAAAAAACACCCCATAATTCGAAAAAAAACCATCACTCGACGATTTTTCCGTCCCCTTTTCGCATCCAAGTGTGCCATCGGCTAAACGCACATACACAACAACTTTCACACGTTCGCACATACAACGTTCCCTGTAATTTACCCCCGACACATGCCGACGGACGAAAGTTACCAGCTCCACCTTTCACCCGTCCATCCGACCGATCTGCCGATACTCCCATCCGATCGAGGAGCCTCGTACGGTCCAGCGCCCACGTGTGCCAATTTTCTCTTTCGAGGTGTCGGGTTTCCAATAAACGAAAAGTATGTCGATAGACCAACTTTCCGAACGAGAGTCCAACGATACAACTACGTCGGCTCTTTTCCCGATTTCGCTGCTTTGCTTTGTACAAATCGTAACAATAGTACCAAATGAATAATCTCGATCCACGGTTGTGTATATATATATATATATATAGACAGCCAAAACATAGTAACACTATATCATAAATATGAAACTGCGAGGTCTGTAATGTTCGTGAAACTCGTGTTGCAGAATTTCTTCTCAAAGCGATCCTTCCGATCGAACCCGCTGAAGAGAACCAAGAGCGTGACGAAGCTCGAGCGGCAGAAGCAACGGGGCGCCGGGGCCGGCCTGGGTCCCGGGGGCGCTGGTTTGCGGGGCTGTCGCTCCCACGAGTCGCTCCTCTGCGGCCAGGCCGTGACCTCTATGGACTTGGCTGCCGTCACGCCGATACACCCGAGCTTGCTTGGCAGGGCCCACTGTTTCCAGGTTACTCCCACCAACGGCGGGCCGAAGAACTTTAGCTGCAGGACCGCCCACGAAAAGGAACAGTGGCTCCAAAGGTACGTGACCTTTTTTTTTCTCGTTTATATAATAGAGCAGGTACAATATTTGCGGTGCTCAGCCGGAGATTATCGATGGATCCCCGCTTGGTTATCGCGGTAGATTTCGTAAGAGCAACGTTTTCTGCTCCAATGTGCTTTGACAACCACATGCGAGTCCGACCACTCCAAGCTTAAATATTACGTAGCTTCATTGTTTGCAAAACGGTAATCTCATGCATTTCAACCGTGTCCAATAGTAACTGGCTGATTTGTACGTCATACCTCTGAATTGGAAATCTAAGATTACCAATACTTCCGGAGGTGTAGAAACTTGGCTTTCTAATTGATAATGAATGACTCGATCATCATTAAACGACTATTAAAAAAACATCTTCAAAAACGTAGCAGTAACACCTATGTTTCATTGTAAAACAGTAGTCGATTCGTTTCGGTCAGAATTCGAAAATTGTTCAACTTCTGTACGTCCGGTTTTCTCAGTCTCGAATTATAAGGCGTGACGCGTAGAATTTTGGGCTCCCTACGATTCATTTTTAACAAAGACATGGATTCTCAAGTTTGTCGCATGATGTTGGAATCTTGTGAACAGCACAGCTCCGTAATATTACGTTCGGTCTTCTACGTTGTGAGGTAACGACTATGTGATGTAATATATGAGTCTTACAAAAAATGTATAATATACACCCACTCTCTTTAACCACAGCCAAAGTCGAGGCCTAACCCCTTTCTTTTCCGTGTACAGAACGCGTAAATAAATGATGCATCGAAGACGTCATTTGTATCTGGTGCTCTTGAATTATCGTTCAGCACTATATACGTATATATGTGCTCGTATGCGGCAATTCCTTTCAATTTTCATCGCAACGGAGTCGAGGCACCACCGCGGAGATGCTCAATTATAATTAACGCCGTACTTGTAGCCACAAAAACCGCCGTAGGCTCACTCTCAATCATCACCACTTGAAGCCCAACGACACGCTAAAACGAACAATTTCAACTCAAGTTTTTTTTTTTTTCAACGCTGACACTTGGAATGTACAAAAAAATATATGTATATAATCACACCATCTCGGTCGCGTACGCGAGGAAAAGAAAAGAGAGACCACACAGACGGCAAAAGGTACACTGCGCACGCGAGGGCCGCAATCATACCGTCAAACCCATCCACACCGAGCCGCGAGATGTATCTCCCTCTTGTAGCATGAAACACCATTTAAACAAAACTCTCTTTCTCTTAACGCAGTCTTCGCAAGTCGGTGCAACCCGACGCTGACCAAATGCGCCGGACGGACAACTCGCTGCAGATCTGGCTGCTCGAGGCGAAGGGCGTGCCCCCGAAGAAGCGCTACTTCTGCGAGATAAGCCTCGACACGGTGCTCTACGCGCGCACCACGTCCAAAGTCAAGGCCGACCTCTGCTTCTGGGGCGAGCGCTTCGACTTTAACCACCTCCCCCCGGTCAACACCATCCAGGTGAACCTCTACCGCGAGGCCGATCGAAAGAAGAAGCGCGAGAAGAGCGTCTTCATCGGTGAGTCCCTTGTTTTCTCTCTTTCCTTTTGTGTTCACCTCCACCTCCATACATACGAGGGGTCAATCCGTGCGAGGATATACAAAGACTATTGCTTGCGGGGCCCGAGGGTCGCGTGTCCGATTTTACGGATGGCTCGCGCGTGTGTGTGTACGATGCCCACACCGTACTCGTGAGCGCGCCCGGGGGCTTTTCCGGCACGCGGAGTCTTTCTATATACGTGTCCCTACGCGCCAGGGCTTTATGCAGCTGAGCTTGATGCGATTTATGATGCAGGTATAACGTCCGATGGGGATGCATGGACAACGAGAGCCTAATGGTTTTATATACCGCGCGTGGCCCTCGAGGTCTTTAGAGCTCCGGGATGAGGATTTTTTTTTTTTTTTTTCTTTTCTCGGCAACTTGGTCGAGAGCTTTGAATGCGATTTACAAAGATTCGGGGTGATACGAGTTTTAAAAGTTATAATTGTGGGGCAACGTGAGTATACGATTCACATTGTAAGACGGCGGATGAAAATCGAGCGAAGAGGCATTGTCGTCGCAGAGCGAGAATGAAAAAGTGGATATATATATATACGTGCAGCTAATGCGTGTCCATTCATCTGAATTTCGGCCTGAAATCTGTTGCGCGGCTTTGAAAAGCAACGTGACGAAAAGAGGGGCCCACGTCTCAATCGTCGAGAGAGAGAGAGTGTGTCCCCTTGCACCGGCCTTTATTTTTCCAAATGCATCCTCACCCACAGATCGATAATTTTGTTATTCCAAGAAAAAAAGAAAAAAGAAAAAAAAACTAATAACGATCACGTTCGGCTGAACGCAGGCTCGGTGAACATCCCCGTGCCTAACGTGGCGTCGCGCTACCTCACGGAAAAATGGTACCACGTGGTCGGGGAGAAGGGCCCGCTGAAGGACCCGCCAGCCCTGAGGGTCAAGTGTCGCTTCCAGTCGGTCGACATACTGCCGGTCCACGTCTACCACGACTTCCTCGAGTATCTCAAAACCGACTACCAGATACTCTGCGAGAAGCTCGAGCCCCAGATCGGCGTCAAGGCCAAGGAGGACATTGCCACCGCCCTCGTGGCTGTTATGCAACGGGAGAAGCGGGCGCCGCAGTTTCTCGCCGACCTCGTCATGATGGAGATTCACAGAATCGGTAAGACCAATGTCTTCATTTTGCTAGGTGTATTTCGCCAAAAGATCGAGGAAATATCGAGGCACAATTAACTATGTCGATTCCTTCGCGCAGACGACGAGCGACTGACCTTCCGGGGCAACAGCATGGCGACCAAAGCAATGGAAGCGTACCTGAAACTGACGGGGGACCGCTACCTCCAGGAAACCCTGGGGCCCGTGGTCAGGGGCGCGGTCGAGGGGGGTGACTGCGAGGTCGATCTGCTCAAGGTCGGCTCGGTGGCCGCGCTCCACAAACAGCAGCAGAACCTGCGCAACGCGGTCGAGCTCGCCTGGAGCCGCATCGTCGACAGCCACTCGAAATTCCCTCTCGAGCTGAGGGAGTGCTTTCGCATATTCCGGGAGCGGCTCGCCGAGATGGGCAGGGAGGACATGGCCGACAATCTCATATCCGCCTCGATATTCCTCAGGTTCCTCTGCCCTGCCATACTCACGCCCTCGCTGTTTAACATCACCCACGGTGAGTACACCCTTATTATATCTCTGGGTATTATCTATGAGCATCGACCGAGGAATCATTTTATAATCAGCTTTTCGTGTTTTGTCCGCGAAGGGGTTTAACTTTCGAGGGAAAAGAAGAAAAAAATATAGTAACCATGGCTAGATGCTTGAGATGAAATTTTATATACTCCGTTTGAGCAAACAGTCGATGGACATTCCGCGGGTTTAAAGAGGGATCGTTAAATTTCATTACGTACATGGGATCTTGTACGTTTTCGAGAGCCGATTATTTCCCCCTAATAGCGAAAATTGCTGGGCTCTATAAAATGATAACGACCAAGGGGGCAAAACACGATGGGATTCCATTAGCGTGACTCTCCTCCCTGCCTTTGACGACAAATTGCGCGCGAGAGCATCAAAGCTGATTATATGCGCATAGATGCACCGTACATGTATACATACCAGCGGCGTTGCGAGTAAATTGTTTTCTTTTTCCTTCTTCGCTCACGGCAGAATTTCCAAACGAAAAGGCGGCGAGAAATTTAACGCTCGTAGCCAAGACTCTGCAGACTCTGGCCAATTTTACGAGGTTCCAGGGCAAGGAGAACTTTATGGAGTTCATGAACGACGTGCTCGAGCGCGAGGCACCTGCGATGAAGAATTTCTTGCAACTCATTAGCGTAAGTATATTGTACGGCTTTCAACAATTTTTTTTTCTTTTCAACATAAACGACAAAATTTGCGTGGGTGAAGCTCGTTGATAAATAATTTCATGAGTTATGGAGAAATCGTTAAATAACTTTCGCGATAAACACATACACGTATGGGTGAAATAAAATGAGATATCGTTACGGCCCCCTTCGACAGAGCCCCCTGCCGAAGGACGCGTCCACCAGTTCGATCGAGTACGATGGCTACATCGACCTAGGCAAGCAGCTGTCGCTGCTCCACGGACTGCTGTGCGAGTGCTCGTCCATCATCTCCCCGTCCTCGAGCTCGGCCTCGCTGTCGAGGCTCAGCGACGTGCTCGACAAGATCTCGGTGGCGCTGGACCAGCCAGGCCCCAGTCCAGCTCTGGCCTCGAACTTGCGCTGTTACCCGGGCAACCTCCAGAACAACATATTCCGCTACAACGACCCGACCATCGCCAACAGCAACACGAACCTCTCGATATCCGCGACCTCGACGCTCAGCAGCAACCACAGCACGCTCAACGGCACCGTGGCAGACAGCACCGAGATCCTGCAGAGCAACACCCTGGGCCACAATGCCAACGGCGGCTCGACGAGGAGTCCTATTGTCACGCGGGCCGCGACGCTACCGCGCAACGCGTACATGCCCACGACCAACGGTGACAAGCTGCAGCTTCAGATAAACGCCGACGAGTACCAGTTCGAGCCGCCAGCCTTCGTCTCCAGGTCGCCTACGCCCCTGACACGCCAGCCACACCATCTGCAGCAGCAGCGAGTCAACCTGTTTTCCAACAATCGGGGTGGCCCTGCGGGCTACCGTCTGACGACGAGCGCCAGTCTGGCGAACGTGAACCACTGCCAGGCGCCCAGCCACGCCACGAGTCCCACGCGGTCCGAGAGCCACAACAATCTCAAGGACTCGAACTACAACATAACCAGCAGCCAGTCGAACAACACACTGGCCCACCATCAGCACCGGCACAACATCGCCAGGCTGCAGAGCCTCGACATCCACGATAGGTGCGAGGACAATTACAATCACAACTACAATAGCTACAGCATGTCGAGGTCGGCGAGTCGCAACCACGTGCACGGCAAGGAGGAGAACGCCAATCAGACGCACCACCAGCAAAACAGCTACGGCAACGTCAGCAAAACGACCATCAACGCCAACTCGAACATCACCCTGTCCATCAACAATCAGCAGCCAAACAACAATTACCACCACCATCACAACCACAACCACAACAATCATCACCACCACAACAACCAGCAGCACAACAACAACAACAACAACAAAGCCGGCAACAACGCGGTCGCGTTGGCCAATGGCAACCTGGACGAGCTGTCTGATCTGCTGAGGTACGCCGACGATGAGGTCTCGGAATCCAAGTCGCAGAAGGGCTCGCAGATCTCGATCTCGCAGCTGAGCAACGTCGCGAGTTCTGGCTACCAGAGCTTCGCGGCCTACAGCCAGAGCTCGAGCCCCGTCGAGTTGAGCAGCAACGGTGGCAGCAACGGCAGCGGGGCGGGTGTCGGTGGCGGTGGTGGTGGTGGTGGTGGTGGTGGCAATAACGCAAACGGCCACATACTCGGCGGCGCGCCTTTGGCTTTCGCCAACCCGGTATACCACATGGAGTCGAATCACCACGGGAGGAACGGGAGGCGAGGCAGTAGCAGCTCGGACGAGAGGGATGGTAGCAACGGGGGCGTCGACGGTGTCATCCGAGGCGTCGATCTGAGTCCCTCGCCACCGCTGCAGCAGAACGCGAGGAACCTCCAGAGGAACGGGCTGCAGTGGAGGCAGAACAACTCGGCGATCAGGCCGAGTGGCAACGACCAATCGTCTGGCTTGTGCTGCAACAGTAAGCTCAGGAGGCGGCTGTCTCTCGACTCCACGAGGGACTTGTCGGATACCAGCGAGGAGGAGAGCTGTGCCACCAGACGGAGCAAGTCGAGGAGCCATCGCAGTATCGACCAGGTAATTTTGCGTAGCCTTTGAACCTTGCCCATGACGTCATATACTCCCTACCATCAGCTCAATTCGGGTTCCTAGTTCTTTTGTTTTTTAACGTTTCGTTGCGCAGTGTTTTCTTACGACTCTTGCGCGGGCAATACAATTAATAAAGCATCGCAAACTTATCTTTGCTATTAACCGATTGTGAGTGTAACTAACAAGATTAAAAACAATAAACCATACGCCCCCCCCCCTGCGCCCCGAATAAACATGTATTGATGATAAAATTAAATGAATGATCGTCCAGTACGAGGTGGAGATCGAGAGACTGCAAAGCAGCGTTGACCGTCTGCGCGCCCGGCTGGGCACTGTTGAGGACGGCGACGTCGACGGCATAAGTCCGGACACCAAAATGAAGAGCATTATTTCCAGGTACTAATCTTTGATGAGTTAAAAAAACACAACGCGTCCAACCTACTTCTCGCCCATCTCTTTTTTTTTTTTTTTTTTTTTTTTTTTTTTTTTTTTTTTTTTTTTTTTTTTTTTTTTTNATCTGTCGTCTAATCGAACGTTGGTTGGTACTATATGCTACTAATTGAATATTGTGGGGTTTAAGTGTTTGTTTGACAACTAATAATTGAATTGTTTAATGAGTTTATTCATATAATTACTAATCAGGCAAGTCTTATGTGTTGTGAAATTTGTTTTAATTTTCTAAATTTTTTATACTTTATTTTATTTATTTTTTTGTTCATATCAATTAATAAATCTACATGTTTTGATTGATTAAATTGTAGCGTTTGGAAGTATATCATTGTTTCTGAGGCTGATCCATTCGTAATCATTTAGACAGTATATCATTGTACTTGAGTAATTGAAAGTATTATCATTTTAGTATTTATAATTTTATGGTTACAAAAATGCTAAAAGTAAATTATTTTATAGGAAAATTAAAGCCGACTGTGGTAAAATGAAAACGCTATTTATTCAAATAAAGAAAAATATTATTTTCCTCTCGATAAATTCAATAAGATCGCACGTATAACTATTTCAGTTTTTCATACCAATACTGGGATTATTATATAGAAAGTAAAAAGTATTTCGACACAACAAAATGAAAAAAAAAAAATAAATAAATTCGTGAATATTAAGTTATTGTCTCAAAGATACAAAAACTATGATTATAATTACTACAACTATTGAGGTTCTCATTTTTAACTGATTGTGTTTTCCTGTGTATTCTATCTGCTGCATTTGTGGTATAACTCTGGCTTGATCTGGATCTTGGTGTAAGAGTCAAATTACATATCTAAGCTTCCGTTGAACTTGACTTTATTGCCACTTTTTTTTAGCATTTTCAATGTAATGTTTATTATTATTATTGTTATTATTATCATTATTGTTATTATACTATATTTATTCGTATTATGGCATCTTAGTTTTGTTATTTATAAGAAGTTATTTATCTCTATGTGTATCTGGAATAGTCACAGCGCGCTCAACACATGAAACCGCTTTTTCTTCTACGTTCCACATAACATACTGCGTAAGAATATATCATATGTATTACACACGTTTTATTGATTTTACTAGCAAATATTATGTGTACCTGTTCCTACAAATTTTACTGCTTTTTGCTCTAAAATTCATCAGCCATGATATTATTACGGAATACACATAAATACACAACACCATCTTCAGCTGTTTACAAATTTTTTAATGAATTTTACGTATACACCAAGTAGTTGCTCGTAACTTTATTTTTCTTACTCTTTGTTGCGTGCAAGTTGATGTCCTAGTGCTTATTTTACAACAAAAATATTTCATTTATGTTTTATAATTATTTTAATACTGATTGTTTAAGACAAGATTTATTTTTTTATGATACCATTTACATCAAGTTATGGAATGAAGTAAACAATTAGACATTTGTTTTCATGTTAAATTTGAAAGCTTTTTATTTAAAACAGTATAATCGATGTCGTAATTTTTCTTTCAACATTTTAATATGCATCATTTAAAATTTCTTAAAACATATTTCCATTCTTCCACACGAATGAAAAGTGTCTCCAACTTTCTTACAAATTAATTTTTAATGTGAACACTTTTACTACTTGGCACAATTCATCCATTGTTCAGCTTAATATTTTTGATGAACAAAGATCCACCAACACAATGTCTCGTCTCGTGCAACTAAATACCCTCATTTGTGTCAACTTTTCTCTTTTGTCACGAAAAAAAAAAATAAAAAAAAATAAAAAAAATTTTCCACCCTCGAACAAAACGACTTCAACGATTTTCATCACCAATTTACAGGCTGATGTCCGTGGAGGAGGAGCTGCGTCGCGAGCAGCAAAAGATGTCGGCGGCGCTGTCGTACAAGCAGCGCGTGATCGAGGCGCAGGTACAGCAGATAGCTGCCCTCGACGCGGCCAACTCGCGCCTCATGTCGTCGAATACAAGACTGTTGTCCGCATTGAGCACCCTGAGGGAGCGTTACCACGCAGGAAGCAGCACCAACGCAAGCTCGGCTACGGGGAACACCGGTACCAAACAGCACCAGTCGACCAACGGCAATTCCAGCAACAAAAACAACAATAACAACAATAACAACAACAACAACAACAACAACAAAACCAACAACAAGCACAACGCCGATGCCCAAGCTCTGCTGCAGAATATCGCCGACATCGGCGAGCTCAAGAGCTCGACCTGTTGAGCTGTGCTGTTGATGCTGCTTCTAATCGGATTGGGTACGTATGCGTGATAAAGGAGCGACCGTGGAATCTCGGAGGCGAGCTCGATTTTTTTGTTTCTTTCTCCTTGCAAGTACCTACGGTGTAGCTCGATCCAATCTTTGATCAACAATTGACGAAGGTACTTCGACGTCTTTTCATTTGTTAATATTGTATATATAATTGCGTGTAAATGATACAGTGGATGTGTATTGCAAAAGTCGTACGAGAGTTGATTATCCCACTCATTAATTAAAATTTATGTGACAAAGCACGTTAAACGTATAATATTATTATCTAGTTTCTCACGTCGACCCTTTTTTAAGACTAACAGTATTACGTGTATTTTAATTTATAATTTAAAAAAAAAGAAAAGAAAAGAAAAAAAAACACCTACTATTAACAATAATTGATATTTTATTGAGGTAACATTGAGATTGAGAAGAAGTATAATTATGCGTATTCATGTACAGTTGGCAAAAAGCCTTTTTTTTAGTTGTGTACTAAAATATTAAAGCACTAAGATCGATTCTTGTTTTCAGTCACTTTGTTGGTTTTGTTTGGTAAATTGAATGAATTTTCGGGAATCTAAATGATTCAAAGATCAAATTCGGACAACCAAGTATGCTATTGGATAATTTTGGAATCGATTGTATGAATTTATAAACTTTGAATAACATTTCATCGGTCCAATTATGATCTTTTTACTGCCACTATTGTTTAATCTATATCATTATTCAACCTACCTAATTTCAACATTTTTTAAAAATGTTTCTCACATTAGCGTGAATTTAATTTATTCGTTTCTTCGTGAAATGTGAATACTATTCATCAGTGATGACGTATTGTTCCATCAAAAGTTGATGTGATTGCAAATTTTAAGAAACTACAGAATATTGCAGGAATGACGTAGGATTATTGTTTGCTTGTACATTTATAAATGCGTATCTGCAATAGTTTGATCCTTGAAATATAAAATTTCCACGTGAATTAGAGGCTACCTTAATAATAAGGCAGACAAAGAAAAAAGGTAATATTTATCGCTGTATTAAATTCTGTAGATTAATTTTCACGTAGTTCAACCCTCGAGATGTTGATTATAAGTAAAATTTATTTACTGATGTAACCATTATAATCAATATTGCGTGTTAAAATTATTATTGTACAGTTTTTCTCCTATACATCTCCTTTAAAATGGTTTTTTAATTAATTAATAATTCGATCGACTAAAAAAAATGAACTGACAAAGAGTCAAAGCAATTTGATTTTCGACTTTACTCCTAGCGAGTTAATTTTGTTTTCGTTGAATGTATATTATTTGATAGATCGATTTATTTTGTATTCTTACAAGAAAAAAAATTGTACAATAACGTACGTTTGCAAAAGAACGAGTGTATTGAGGAGTGAAACTCGATGTGACTGTTTCGATGAGCGTTTGCGCAAAAATAGTCTCGAAACCTCGAAACGACAAATAAAATTGTACTTTGTAAGCAATTGTATTTACGTAGTAGTTTTTACCAAAGATATACACAAACAAATGAAAAAAAAAAAGAAAAAAAGATTTTGCATTGTACAATGTCGCTGGAATTCATGTATAATATATTCGTTCTTTTTGTTTCTTTTCGTACGATGTAGATTTAATATTTAACGAAGGTGGTGAATCCATACGACCTGCGATGCGAAAGAATAGCATCCCAGTTGATGTTTTTCTGTTTTCAAAAATCTCACGAATTTTTACGAAGTTAACATATATATATATATTTATATATATCTTTGTACAAATCGTAACAATAGTACCAAATGAATAATCTCGATCCACGGTTGTGTATATATATATATATATATATAGACAGCCAAAACATAGTAACACTATATCATAAATATGAAACTGCGAGGTCTGTAATGTTCGTGAAACTCGTGTTGCAGAATTTCTTCTCAAAGCGATCCTTCCGATCGAACCCGCTGAAGAGAACCAAGAGCGTGACGAAGCTCGAGCGGCAGAAGCAACGGGGCGCCGGGGCCGGCCTGGGTCCCGGGGGCGCTGGTTTGCGGGGCTGTCGCTCCCACGAGTCGCTCCTCTGCGGCCAGGCCGTGACCTCTATGGACTTGGCTGCCGTCACGCCGATACACCCGAGCTTGCTTGGCAGGGCCCACTGTTTCCAGGTTACTCCCACCAACGGCGGGCCGAAGAACTTTAGCTGCAGGACCGCCCACGAAAAGGAACAGTGGCTCCAAAGGTACGTGACCTTTTTTTTTCTCGTTTATATAATAGAGCAGGTACAATATTTGCGGTGCTCAGCCGGAGATTATCGATGGATCCCCGCTTGGTTATCGCGGTAGATTTCGTAAGAGCAACGTTTTCTGCTCCAATGTGCTTTGACAACCACATGCGAGTCCGACCACTCCAAGCTTAAATATTACGTAGCTTCATTGTTTGCAAAACGGTAATCTCATGCATTTCAACCGTGTCCAATAGTAACTGGCTGATTTGTACGTCATACCTCTGAATTGGAAATCTAAGATTACCAATACTTCCGGAGGTGTAGAAACTTGGCTTTCTAATTGATAATGAATGACTCGATCATCATTAAACGACTATTAAAAAAACATCTTCAAAAACGTAGCAGTAACACCTATGTTTCATTGTAAAACAGTAGTCGATTCGTTTCGGTCAGAATTCGAAAATTGTTCAACTTCTGTACGTCCGGTTTTCTCAGTCTCGAATTATAAGGCGTGACGCGTAGAATTTTGGGCTCCCTACGATTCATTTTTAACAAAGACATGGATTCTCAAGTTTGTCGCATGATGTTGGAATCTTGTGAACAGCACAGCTCCGTAATATTACGTTCGGTCTTCTACGTTGTGAGGTAACGACTATGTGATGTAATATATGAGTCTTACAAAAAATGTATAATATACACCCACTCTCTTTAACCACAGCCAAAGTCGAGGCCTAACCCCTTTCTTTTCCGTGTACAGAACGCGTAAATAAATGATGCATCGAAGACGTCATTTGTATCTGGTGCTCTTGAATTATCGTTCAGCACTATATACGTATATATGTGCTCGTATGCGGCAATTCCTTTCAATTTTCATCGCAACGGAGTCGAGGCACCACCGCGGAGATGCTCAATTATAATTAACGCCGTACTTGTAGCCACAAAAACCGCCGTAGGCTCACTCTCAATCATCACCANATTAAGTTATAATATGACAGCGATCGATCATAAAGATCGTTTCCGTACCTTCTAATATTTTTTACGGTTTTTTTTTTTTTTTTTTTTTTTTTTTTTCTTCAATCTATATATTATGTAAGAAAAGAAATACATTTTAATAAATTGCCGATTCTTGTATGATCACTGGCAAGCAAGATTAGTACTTCGATGTGTAATCCAGTTTTATTGGCATTCTTTTTTTTTAAATTGCATTGACAGTAAATTTTAATCACATAGTTTTGAGCTTTAGGTGTTACTGGCACTCCAATTAAATAGAAGTTTTCCAATTTTTTTTTTTGATACAAGTTTGAAACTCACATCCAAAGGGTTATTTTATAGGCGATCATCGTATTTAATGCCTCATTTAGTGTATGTATAAAAATAACAATTGTTATACTTATTCAGTTACTCAATAACAACTAGTTACAGCAACATATGGAGGACAGATCGATAAACTCAAAGTGCGCAGTTTACCCATCGATTGGAAAAATTTCTTAATTTTTTAATATTCTTATGACGAATGACAAAAGAATGCTTGTAACTTGAATCAATGAAAATATTTTCACGCCTCTCAAACGCAACACACTGATGTAATACAGTGCATCGAGTTCATCAGCTCAATCCAAACATAAAATATATCCATTCCCAGAGACGGAAAAAAAAAAAATCATCATCAGCCTAGCTCATAAGACACTCATCAGCATTCGCTCTCACTCTCTCGATCTGTCATTGCGTCTCTTCTTCCCTGCACCACCTCCTCACCACCGCCAGCTTTGTTCTTTTTCTTCCCTCTCCTGCCGCTCAATAACAATCTACTTTTTGCTCTCTCTCCCTCTCACCATTTCTTTCCTGTCATGCACTTTCTTCTTCTTTTTCTTCTTCTTTTCATCTGAGGTCGTACGACAAGCGGGAAAAAAGGTCAATGCACCGAGCCGTCCCCCTACCCACACCCCCGCTTCTTTTTTCCTCATCCGTGTACCATACGTATCATATATACGTATGTAATACCAACGCACTACAGATTCGGGTGCGCGTCATTCACTTCCGCGGGAGAGAACAGTGCGATGACAGTAGAATTTTATTTTCGTGCCCCACGCCAGCACTTGCCTCCTGTGCCGTGGCTTTCTCCAAATTGGGAGAGACACCGCTGTGCCACCGGCACGCTAATCGCGACCTCCTCCGAATGCCCTTTTTTTCCCCCCGCAGACGGTGATCCTGATTTCGAGGGCCTGCAGCGCGTTAATGTCCGGACGAGATTTGACGCTGATTGGGCGTGAACTTGAAGGGGACTTTTGGAGACGCTTTTGGCTGAGCAAACACATGTGCGCTGCGACACCCGAAATTACCGTTATCGCGACGAATTTCATAACGGCTTTTTTCTTTTTTTTTTTTTATACGGTGATAAGAGGCGAATGAAATTTTTTTTTTTCCCTCTTTTCCTTCATGCCTCGACGGTGACAATAAATCATCACGAGTGGAATATTTCGTAACTTTTAAGCTCTCTCGGCACAGTGTCGTGTGCGCACGATTCATCGCCCCGAATAAAAAAGGGGATCGGTATCAGTGATGGTTGATTAAAATTTTTGTCGAGCATGTCGCCGACAGTGTAAGATCAACGTCGGATCGAAACAATTTAATTATCATCGCCCGGCATCCGTCGATCGATATAATAACAATGCCGGTTGTCGTCGGCTCGACGACAGGCTGGGCCGGCCGTGAAAACATCGGGCAATGGTACCTACGCGAGTTATGCGATCGGATTGATTGAACGAGAAATTTGAGCGGGTCGTTGACTCGAGAGTATATACATACGTGTAGTGGCAGCACAGTGCTCTTGAAGTGTGCTGTAATACGTGTGTATACGT